CAGACGCTTAAGGACTGAGCCATCCAGGCACCCCTGGGCGTTATCTTTTTAGTTACTGTTGTAAATACAGCGTTTTATTCCATTTGATCTTCCATCTGATAGTAGGTATGCATGAATGCTGTTCATGTCTGTATTTTAACTTTGTAACTCTTCACTTAGCTTTTACTGTTGTAATAGTTTTTAAAAGCGAATTTTGTTTTCCAGTTCTTATTTGCTAACAGTGATCTTTTCCCTTTTTTTTAATGAATAGGTTTTGATGGTACCTTATTTGACTACTTCAATGGTTATGAAGATTTAAAAAATAAGAAAGTTAGGTTTGTTGGACATGCTAAACAGAGAATACAAGAAGATTATCTTCGAATTTTACGGTATTTCCGGTAAGAATTTTTAAAAAATAATACAGATTTTAATATCCCAGAGCACAATTCCAATCATGTGAAATGCGCAGGTCAGAGTACAACATGGTGACATCCCAAATGTCTGCTTCCAATAGACTTACTAGTAAAATGTGACTTAACTGTGAGATTGTTCCCGAAACATAGATATTTATTCCATTCTGTGATGGTCTTTTATAGAATTCAGCTTTAAATCATTTTTTAAATGTCCATTTTTCTTTTTATTTCCTGCACTGATCATAAAATTTAGTGTTTACCACAGGCCAACCACTTCCTGGTGCTTTGAATACGGAGGAGTGAGTGTCTTTGCCTTCATATGGTTTACAGTTTTAGGTGGTCATGAGAAACCCTTAGATGAACTTGCTAAAAGCATGAAATAAATTTGGATGGTTTTGTGCATAGCACTGATTTTTAAACTCCAAGCTGTAACCCTTTTTAAAAACGATTCTAACTGGCTAGTTTATGTCCAATAATATTTTTCACTGGTTGGGATCATATTTAGAATATTCTGTAACGGAGCCTACATATTTTGTCAGTAAACGCTTTTCCTTTAAATTGGAGTATTTGCAAAAGTCTCTCTTTGCAAATAATAGAACACAGACTGACATCCGTATTTACTGTCATTTAATCTACATTATTAATGAACTGAATTTTAAAGATGTGTTAGTACAGGTGTATTTTAAAGCTTCCAATTCTGAGATTGCTAGAAATATACTCCGTTGTCTGCAGCTAGATGAGTCCTGTTTGAAACTCTTCATTAAAAGTATTGATGGGCACAGAGAGGCAAGCTTTGTACACTGTTCTGTTGATGGCATTCCAGTCTTCCCAAGAATGTTCTGCGTTATTCATCCAGTATAGGTACCAGTTCCAGGAAGTACATTTGATGGCCATTCTAAATGTCTGAGTCACTGATTTGGAAATGCAAGTGAGTAGAGGTTTCTAGTTCTTGTTAATTGAAGAAAGTTACTTATTAAAAAAAAGGTTATTTATATTTTATTGGAGCTCAGGTTTTGTCATTTGGGAACAAAAGGAAGGTAAGGATTTGACCAGATGATGTCTAAGGTCCCTCTTAAACCTAAATCTGTGTTGTCTCATATTAGATGTATGGAATAGTACCAGTTAAATGAAAAACAAGATTTTTCTAGTGATACGCCAACATAGAGGTAACATGCTCTGAGAATTTTGTTTTGTAGGTTTTATGGGAGAATTGTAGACAAACCTGGTGACCACGATCCTGAGACTTTGGAAGCAATTGCAGAAAATGCAAAAGGCTTGGCTGGAATATCAGGAGAGAGGATTTGGGTGGAATTGAAAAAAATTCTTGTTGGTAACCATGTAAATCATTTGATTCACCTCCTCTATGATCTTGATGTGGCTCCTTACATAGGTGAGAGCAAGTTACAAAATATTTGAATTTTTTACAGTGAAACATCTGGTTTAAAATTTCATAGGGAAAAATGTTTGACTAATTCCAAAAGGAGAAATGCAGTATTTTAAAATAAGATAAACTTCGGGGTCGGGGGTGGGACACAGTGGCCTTTGGTGTCAGACCTGGGTTTGAGTGATGTCAGCTTTGTGATTTGGATTAGTTCCATGATCATTAGTTACTGAATCCAAAAGGGTGTGAGAGGAACAGCATCGGTCTAATAGAAGGGCTAAAAGATTCAATGAGTTAATACGTGTAAAGCACTTGAAAGAGTGAGATACATAGAAATTAATATTGTTTTAGAAAGAACAGTGGTCTATGCTGGAGCACACTGCAGGAAACTTGGGGCTATGTCATATACAGTTTTTGCATGGCAGTGTGGGGCGTGGATGGTCTGTGACAGGTCAGTGGGAAGTCATGAGTAAGTTAGTATCTCCCATGAGTCTGACACCACCACTGCCTCAGGACCTCCTGATGTAGCTCAGTAATGGAAACTCATGTGTTAGGACTCCCCTGGGTTTTGGGGACATTATGGGAGGGAATAGCAACTAACCTGTAAGATGGAGCATCAGACTGAATCAGTGAGTTCTAGTGACAGGGCATTTTGTATATTACACCATGGTTGGTTGAGGATATGAGTGTGTAAAAAATCATAATCGGTGAAAAATGTTTTTGTCCCTACAGGCTTACCTACTAGTGCAAGTTTAGAAGAATTTAACAAAGTTAGTAAAAATGCTGATGGTTTTTCACCAAAGCCAATGACTCTCTTGGCCTCATTATTCAAAGTACAGGATGATGTCACAAAATTGGATTTGAGGTTGAAGATTTCAAAAGAAGAGAAGAACCTTGGTATATTCATAGTTAAAAACAGGAAAGATTTAGTTAAAGCAATGGATAGTTCAGAGCCACTGAAACCCTATCAAGACTTCATTATAGATGTAAGTATATACAGGCTTGGTCAGAACTAATTAATATTAAGGTCTACAGTGTGTTATGTGGATGTCATTTATTTTAAATGAAAAATTTCACCTCGGTTATTATTTACCTTTTAGGATATGCTCGTTAGCAAGCATTCTAACGTGAGATGGAACTTTAATGTTTGATTCTGGCCCTTAGTCTAGGGAATCTGATGCAATGCCCCGCGTGTGTGAACTCCTGAAGTACCAGGGAGAGCATGGTCTTCTGCAGCAGATGCAGCAGTGGTGCATTCCTCCATTTCCTGTGAGTGGCCATGACATCAGAAAAGTGGGCATTTCTTCAGGAAAAGAAATTGGGGCTCTGTTGCAGCAGTTGCGAGAACAGTGGAAAAAAAGCGGCTACCAAATGGAGAAAGACGAACTCCTAAGTTACATAAAGAAGAGCGAAAATTGATGAGAGCTGGCACTAAATAGCAGAAAATTGGGGGTAAGGCTAGGTTTTCTTCTCTCCCTCTCAGTGAGATTTAAGAGACTTGAATGAAAGCCAGCTTGGAGGACCTTCTCAGATCAAGAGAGGTCTTTTTGAGTTTCTGGCAGTAAACTCAAGTCTACCTCCTCTTAAATCTCATTTATATCCTTGAACCTTCTGCTGCTTCTGGAATAGTTCCTGCTGTGAATAGTATAGTTGGCTTCCCCTGTCTAGGGTTTAAATTTTTTTTTTTTTTTTTCCGGTGTAGCGCATTACTGATCTTAAAAAGTGGTAACTATCTTTAAGAAAAAAGTGTTTGCTATTGAAATAACTACATTATTTTATCAGTGTCTTTAAGTGTTAATTCTTACTTGAATTTAACACATTTAAATGAATTTAATTTCAACACCAACTTGTGTTGAAATTAGTTGACAATATCCTGTATAAAATTATGAAGACTAGGTATGTCCTGGGTGGCTGGCATTCGTACACCTGAAACTTGTTCTCGCAAGCTCTAAGTTTTAGTATGTAGTTGATACCTTCCTTTGTCATAATGATTTCTTTATGCATGCTAAGCCTGAGAAAGACTGGCTTGAAAGTTACTCTTGAGCCTTTAATAAACATTCCCTTTGGAACTGGAAGATAAATGTGCTTATGTGGTATGTGACAGTATACATCAGGTTTCTCCTGTACCCTTAGTCGTTAATTTTTTTCACGAATTAAAAAGATATGGCCTACATTAAAATATCCATGACCAGGCTTGTACATATGCTTTTTAAAGGTTTGAGCCCTAAATGCTTTGGGTAGGTAAAGGGGTGTACAGTGCAAAGTACTGTTTCAGCTGTTACGTTCTAACATTTTATAACTGATTTGACTTCTTGTATAGCCAGTCCTAGCATCTCTGTCCTCTGTGGGGACAAGTCAGTAATTTAAGTCCTACTAAAATAGAATCTCTATTCTAAATAGGAAGTATGCAGAGATACCGCTATTTCAGAGGCCTTGTTTTGTTATGTATAAAACCAATCTAAAAGTGTTATATGCATTTCTTTTACATATCAGAAAATTTTATTGGCCAGTGTCAATGAACAAAATAAATAGAACACTCTGTGATTACACCCTTCAGGTGGCAAAAGTAAAAGCGGGGTGCCCTCTCTGTGACTGCTACTGGAATAGTGTAAGACTATGTGAACAACTAGTATAGTCCTCTAAACCCAAGGTTCTCAGTAGTATTACAAAAACCCTACAACTTGGGCAGGTCCTACATTGCTTTTCATTTGCCTCCTGTACGTAAATACGCAATGTGAGATCTTCAGTTGATCATTTTAGTCTAGGCACTCACAACCATTGCACATTTGGTAAAAGAAAATATTGATAAATTAAAACGAGATTTAACAGTCTCCCCATCAGTTGACCTTTGCCCAGTTATGAAAACTGAAGTTAATTACACAAATGTGAAAGGATCCATCAAGCAAAGAGGTAGGTGGCTAATCAGTATCTAGAGCTTCATCTTTATGCTTAAATTATCAGCTTGTGAGTAAATATTCTACATTATTTAGACAAAGAAAATGTGTAATATTTGCTCTTAAACTTTACTTAGATTTTCAATTTACATGGAACAAAGGTGCTTACAAAATACAGTCACTTGTAGCCTGATTGAATGAAGGGAGGTATGTTTTAGTATCTCTGTTCCATACTAGTTAAGGTTCAAATTGAAATTTGGAACAGAATAAGCAGGGTGTTCAGACACACTCAGCAAATACATAAGGAAATGAACACTATTTGGGGGCTCAAACTGTATTTTAACTCTTTAATATTTTCAAAATTTACAAATCAGTAGGAGAGAAACTCAAGAAAATTAAAGCCTTTGCCTCTTTCAAAGGGAACATGTACTTGGCACCCTAGCTTTGGGAACTTCTAAAAACTTGCTGTTGGTTCCATGTATGATTAACCTCGAGTTAGGGGAATTACAAATATGTTCGGTGCAGGAAAACCCATCTCCTCCCTTTCAGAGAGGTCTTCGTATCCTAGCAGGCCAGAATATAATGGTATCAAGCTAGATATTCCTAAAAACCAAGTTTTCTAGACTGCTTTTCAGCCTTTTCAATAGTATATTTTAATTTAAATCTTCAAAAACCCTTGACTAAGAAACTGCAACCTTCCACATAATGTTGCTTTTTACTTAGGTATGCATCAAAAGCAGTAATTTCCAAAGCAGATCTGATTTTACAAGACCAACTAGATAAATAACTATCTCTACCATATTTGTTTATAAGCAAAGTATTACTTTGTCGGGGCTTATCTCATCTTCAGTGTCTGGGATTGTGGGCAACAGAGCAGACCGAGTCAAACCCCAAAATTTTTGAGGTGACATGTCTTTTTTGGTGGCTGTAAATTTCCATCCAATATGGCTTGCACAGATCCTACACTGGGCGATAGTCCAAGCATACCTACAAAATTAAAGAAAGGTATCAGCTAAGGAAACACATTTCTGTACCCCAAGCCTATCATTGTATAAAGCTGTTATCAAGACAGAGCTAAATTCTATATGGTTTCCTGAAACAAATTTGATTGTGTTCTTAAGCTGTGTTTATTTTTTTCTTTCTTGGCATTGGAGAAAAAACTTAATCTTGTTAATATGGATTAACTCGCAGGTACCTTTCCTTCATGGTTTTGTATTGCAGTCATGTTACAAAACACTATCCACTTCCAGAAATACACTTATGAGTTAAAAGGGGGGGGGGTGGGTGGGAGGGAGACATACATGAATTTCTAAGAACTACTTCTGAAGAATGACTTTGTCAGAAAATTCATCCAGAAAATCAGTTAATTCTAGTTTTAATCCTTAACAAGGATGTTAAATAAGCTTGGACAATTCAAGTGATATGGTCCTACATCCAAAATGGCAATTATTTTTAATTTTATTTTAGAGAAAGCCTTAGGGGGTGTCTTAAGCAGACGTGGGGGCTTGAGCTCAACTACCCTGAGATCATGACCTGAGCAGAAACTAAAAGATGCTTAACCAGCTTTGCTCCTCAGGTGCTCCCAAAAGGATAATTGTAATCATTAATTCATACTCTGCTGGCCTCTTTCAAAATAAAAGACTGACCCAGAATTTGGAAGCAGACTATTAACACTAGTTCCCAGGTGGTGCTGCTAGTTCTAGGCTCATACTTTGAAGGCCACTGGGCTAAAGAAAGAAAAAAAATGAAGAAAACCAGGATTCAATGCTTTTCCAGCTGTTTTGTCATTGCTTGGGAAATATTCTCTGGTTTGACATTACAGAATATGGTTCAGATACAGTTTTATTGGGTTTTAAGCCAGCTGGTTTTCAGAATGAGCTAAGTCTGGATTAAATGTATAGTTAATTTAAGGATAACTGCAGTTGCCAACCTTCTAACTTTATATTTAGTGAGAGTATGCCAAACTAGCTGTTACTAGCCATTCATAAAATGAAGAACATTTAAATAGAATTATTCATCTCACTATTTTTGATTACAATTCTAACAGCTCTGCTTAGGACTCTGTCCAATTAAGGCAAACCCACTCCCCCCCCCCCAAAAAAAGTAACCACCACATTACCCAGGAAACCAGCTGTGCTCTGTAGAAGGCCGGCCTATCAGATTCAAGTTGCAAGCTTTATACACTGTAAGTGTCTCATGCACATATCCATGAGGATTCACATAAGCTGCCATTGGTCCACATAAGGATAAACTACAAGACAGAATCAGCATAGAAGTCAAAATGGGAAGAAAAAAATGTCTAATATCAGAACTTTAGTATGTGAAGAGGAGGTTGGGAGTCAGCCCAGTTTCATTAGTCTACATGTTTGTAAAACAGGGAGCTCATCTAAAGGAGTCTCAGAGTGGAAGTACAGTGAAAAGGTCCTATTTAGTCATCCTTGGGCAACTGATTATCTTTACTGTCCTGGTTTATAAGTACTAACTAAAATAATTCTTAAACACTTATATCACAGCATCAGTACATGTTCAGAAGCATGTCCCACTTTACCTTTGGGCCCTATGTCTGCCTGGAAGACCATACCTGAGGCATTCATGTTAGGTCCTTAATCACTAAGAAGATAAACAGATTATCAAGCAGGAATGGAGGAAAATAAGGACTGCCCCTTTGTTTGACTCTACCATGCTCATTACCTGTGAATAATATCTTACATAATCATTGCTGCTGAGTACCCAAACTCCCCACATTGCATTTGCTGAATGATTATTATTTAATAGAGGGAAATCTATGGGAAATGGAAATATGGTCTTGACCATAACTCTGTTACAGCAGTTGGGAAAATGTATTTAGAAGTATACTGAAAATGTAATAAAGCTCTCACCTGAATATTTCATTTTTGGTTGTTATTTCTGTTTCTTGACATTGTTTACAGCAAAGAGACGTACACTAAAAAATTTAAGAGAAAATTAGTGGGGAAAAATCACACTTGTTTAATTATGTAATTACATAGCTCATCAAGAAACTTCTCTAAAGTATTGATCCCTCTAAATATGTTTTCCTTCCAATCATTCAAAAATAGAGTTTTAAAGTAGGACCAAGAAAACCTCTGAGATCTCACACCTACTCATTTATAAAACTACTGACTTTGTAGGACAAGGAGTGACAGATACATACAGGCACAGATGCTCCGTGTAGAAATGGAGTGTCTTCACAAACTCTTAAATGTGTGAGGGATGTAAAAACAATCTAAGTGTCTGTATGATCCCAAATGAAATGTCTGAATTATCCTTTAAATCATGTAAAACTAGCGGGGCGCCTGGGTGGCTCAGTAGGTTAACCGTCTGCCTTCGGCTCCAGTCATGATCTCAGGGTCCTGGGATCGAGCCCCGTGTCAGGCTCCCTGCTCAGCAGAGAGTCTGTTTCCCCTCTCCCTCTGCACACCCCCATGCTTGCTCGCTCACTCTCTCAAATAAATAAAACTAGCACAACTAGTTTTCTAATTGCATGACTACATGACTGGGTCCCATAGATAATCAAGCCTAAAATAGGTGTCACGAACATGGTCACTTTACTCACTTTATTCATAATGTCTAGTTCACAGCGAAGTCGTTGGATGGCACTACCAATTTTAAGGAGCTGAATCCTTAATACATCATCAATAGGAAGACAAGCAGCTACTCTGTAAGAAAAGTCTTAAAGACATGGTGGTTTTTCAAGTTTTTGAAGCAGATAAGTAACAGATGACTTATGAATCAGACAGTGTCTTTTTGAAATAAACCCTCTCTACAGGGCTCCCAAAGAATGTGTTTGACATAATTAATACTAAAATACACTAGCTATCGAGTATATATTCTTAGGAAGTTCTAAAATTATTTTCCCATAATTGGTTTTAGAAATGTCTTTTATTTACTTATTTTTAGCAGTATAGGCGGGAAAGTTTACTGAAGCCAAATTACACTCTCAAGATGTGAGGGCGGCGAGGTCCAAGAGAGCTGTGCTCCAGGGTCTGGGTTTCTGACTTTTATCAACAGGTTTTTTTTGGTCTTTTGAACATGAAAATCAAACCCATGGTATAGGAAGTCAATCTGCTAAAAGACTAGAAAAATGGCTACAGTAACTGTACCTAATAACCAGAGCAATGATGTACATAAGATTAAGTAAGTCTTAGAATCAGGGTCCTTTTGAAAGCCATCTTAAAGAAAAGGGAGCGTTCTGACACTCAAGTTTTTGGATGTGCCCCGTTTACTGCAATTTGGTCTACGGCCATACCACCCTGAACGTGCCCGATCTTGTCTGCAATTTGAACTTAACAGAAAAAACTTTGCTTAAGATTAGAGTACTCACAAAATTTAAGAACTTTGTTACAATTAATTAAAAAAATCTTTCTTAAAAGCCCAGATATGTATGCTTTTCAGAACAAATAAAAATATTAAACTAAAATTTTTTGTTTCATTAAACAGAAAAATAATTTAGTAAAATATCAAAAGGCCCCAGGAAGGAAGCTGACTTTTCATACCTATTGGATTTGAAGGAAGAGAATCATCTTTTAGATTTTCGTCCCATTCATGTAGCTGTTTCTTGATTCTATCCATTAAAGTTTCCTTGTTTAAAGTAAAAGCAGCCATAATAAGGTTCACAGACTTTTTAGAACGTACTGCTAGATTTTCAACTCTCTTTAATAAAACTACTATATTAATAGCAATTTAAGTCTTCACTCTACTAAAATCTGAGTCCCAGTTTAAAAGTGTCTGTTTCCTTATGCTCAGATGATCAAAGCCCCAGCTTGTGTGCACGGCACTAAGTTAGCTTTCCAGGCTTCTCTCCTCCACTGTCTCTTTCCCCATGGCACATGCTCCTGACTCACTGCCTTCTAGGTGTTCTTTGATCAACTGTGTGGAACTGGTCTCCCTTCTCCCCCTTTCTAGGACTGCTTTTCTGACTCTGTTCATAGGGACAGTGGTTCCTAAAAACTTCATGAGCACTTGCTACCTACATACCTTACTTGGCACCTATTTAGTACACAAGACTGCCTACTATCTTTTCACAAATACTTGTCTGTTGTGTCATCTGTAATAGCCCAAAGCTGCTGCAGGGCAGAGTGAACTGTAGTTTCCTTTCGTGTTCTGCTTGTGGTAAGTGTTCAACCTTCAGTGTTTAGTCTTCCCAAGCAAGAGTCTATATCTGTGTGTGAGGTGATTCACTAAGGGGAATGACTGACATTTGTTGAATGCCTACTGTGTGCCAAGTACAATGACTATCATTATACCCATTTTTTAAAATCAATTTATTTAGGTAAGTAATTTGCCCCATGCCACAGAGGAAATGATAGAAAAGCTTCGAACACAGTGTTTATGTCTAAAACCCAGATTCTTTGAAGAATTCCAGTTTTAAGTTTTGCAAGGCATGGTGATGCTGAAGTATTACAATTTGAGGAGCAAAATGCTTGCGGATGTAACAGACTAACTGGGGATCAGGAGACAATAAGTTCATATACTCATTTAGGGAAAAAAACCCAAAACATTATTATGGGATTCTTTAATTTTCTAAATCTACCTACACTTACCACATTTCAAATCCTTAATAGACCCCAAAATGTCTCATCTTGTCCTGAATTTATAAGCCACTAGAAACTGGGAAAATGAAAAATTCTATAGATTAAAAGCAAAGTAAGTCCAGTAGTATCCGATTCCTTCGTGCTCTACCTAAATGTAAAGGATGGCATTAGTTCTGAAAATGAGATACCACTGAGTATGAAAGCATATGTTTCATTCTAATGACCCTTAATTATGAAAAGGCTTACTGTAGAAAGAAAAATGTACCAGGTAATACTTACAGCATCATATAAGGAATACAGCCAGCGAGGCCATGAAGTCAAATTTGCACAATGAAACTTTCTCTGAAAACCGAAAAAGAAAGTCACTTAAGAAACTCAGATTCTTATAGTGGAAAGAAAAATATTTGAAAATTGATTTTGGCCCTGGAAAAGATTTTTTAATTTCAAAAATATGGAACATTTTGTAGATAACCCTGTAACAGATGATTTTCTATTAAATTTGACAATCATGTTTTTATATCTTTATATTGTACCTAGAATCCTCATTCTTACTGGCAAAGTTTAAGTATAAAATTTCAGTGCCAAGCAAACTTAGTAAAATTAAGATGAACTTGAAGAGTGACTAAACATACTTCTGTTGACCACATTATCTGCTTTTATACTATTGTTCAGTATAAGCAGTGAAAACTCAAAATACCATCCAAATGGTCTTTGTGTAAAACTTTAAATGGCTTTCAACTGAATTACCACAGGGGCAAACATAAGAAATTTGGCAATTCCAAGAAAACAATGATCATACACTTAAGACTCAACATGATGAAGTCCCCATTTCATAGAATTCAGGGAAAGGGGAAAACCACTGGGTATGTCTTCCAATTGTTGTATTTTGGAATACAAATGAAAGCATGCCTAAAACCATAGAAAAATGTGAATTATACTTAAATTCCAGTGGAATTTCTATGTTTGATGAGAAGGCTCGATAATCATTAAGATGTCAGTCCTCAAAGTATATATTCAATGTAATAACCAGTGAGATTGGAATTTAGAAGGGTAAGTTAAAGTTGGTTTGGAAAAATAAATGTATAAAACCTACCAGGAAAGTTTGGAAAGAGAAGTGTTCTATAGGACACAAAAACATGACTGAGAGAATGCATTGCAGTAGTGCTGTTAACAGCAACAAATTGAAAACAACCTAAATGTCAAGGAACAATAGATTGTTGTGTATGTATGTAAGAGAGGATATGCTGCACCTGATCAAACAAGGCATATCAAACCCACAGTACAATGAATGATTTCATCTTTCTCAATAAAGAAAACAAAACCTACAGAGGTACAGATATTCATATTTTTGTAAACTGTCAGACATCGGGCATGACACATGAAAAGTAGGTGGGAAAGGAAGAAGATGGGGACTGTCCCAGAGTGGAACAAGAAAAGCAAGCTATAAGATTTAACAAAATGAAAGGGAAATCCTACGCTTGTACCTGCAAGACCAAATGAATGGGTATGAAATGGGGTAGGTACACGACACATGTAGGAAAGACTTGGGGGACTCAGTTGACAGTTATGAACTAACCCTTGTGCTGCAGAGCTCACATCCTACTCTCTCCGCAATCCTATGGTTTTGAAGACATCCAGAATCTAAAATGAGACGATAATGTTCCCCTTCTGTAACAGCCAGAACTGGGAACTCCAATTGTCAGGTCAGGGATCAGGATGCTAAGGGGAGGTCAAGAGTTTGCTTTAGGGATGATCAGTTTGGAGCTGCCTCTCAAGGGGACATGATAATAATTTTTAAGTATTTTAGGGAACTACTACATGGATGAGGATAGACTTGTTTTTCAAGGCTCATGAACCACTGGATTCTTTAATGAGATTTTTTGTTTCAATATAATCCTTCTTGTATTTGAAGCTACCAAAAGATGAATTACCACGGGGGCAAACATAAGAAATTTGGCAATTCCAAGAAAACAAAGAATGGGTTTGGGATGGCCTCCAAGTACATGTTCAAAAAGTGATTTAAGCCAAAGGAGCCGGAACATAAGACACTTAAGTTACTCTCCAATCAGTTCTTTACGTTTCAGACAAAAAAACTAAGGCTAAGGATTTTTGTCACAGTACAAATAAATACTACAGAATAAACACAGAATAAAAACATGCTAAAGCAGCCTATCAGGTAACCCTGACTATTCAGTAATAGCAAAGGCAACCACTGTACATTTCTTACAAAAATTCTGCATTTGGTAGCATTATCATCCCCATTCTAAAAATAAGGAGGGGCGCCTGTGTGGCTCAGCTGGTTAAGCGACTGCCTTCGGCTCAGGTCATGATCCTGGAGTCCCAGGATCGAGTCCCGCATCGGGCTCCCTGCTCGGCAGGGAGTCTGCTTCTCCCTCTGACTCTCCTCCCTCTCATGCTCTCTGTCTCTCACTCTCTCTCAAATAAATAAATAAATAAAATCTTTAAAAATAAATAAATAAATAAAAATAAAGATAAGGAAACAGAAGCACAGAAGGATGGTAAAACTTGCCCAAGGTCGCAGTTCATAAATGGGGAGTTGCTAGGCTGTGCATCCAGGAGTCTGACTCTAACCATTACTCAGATATTCAAAAAATATTTTGAACACCCAATATGTGTCAGGCATTATCTTGACGCATTTGGGGTAAACCAGTGATTAAAACAAAAAAAATACTAAAATTGTCCTGTGGAGCATTATGTTTTAGTGCAGAGAAGCTTACTTTCCAGTGGTATACTCAGAATTACAAAATGACAAAAATGCAATGAAGCTTCAGTGTGGCTGATTGACATGCACTACACACTCCCAGCTCAGTTATCAATATACACTTAGAATGATGTGAGAATGATCATTTTTGTAATACAAAAGCATATAATTTTATTTGGCACCCATGTCAAGATAAAGAGAAACCAAACCAATTTATTCATCTATAAACATTCCTTCCCACGAGAATATAAGGCGAACAAAGCGTGGCTGGCTAGTCTACTAAGAGCAGCGCAGCGGCTCAGGATGGTTACCACGTGCCCTGCCGCCCACGCATGCTTGGGAACGTGACCAAGCTGTAACTTTTTAAAGTGATAAGGCCAAAAAAATTCTCTTATCAGGATCATCTTAACAGATTCTGAAGTTCCATTTATAGATCAATTAAATATATTTAGCCTTAATATTTGTGATGTGCTTTATACAGTCAACTATACAAACTGAAGAGAAGTATACCAGCGAAGACTAGCTAGCTTGCACAGAGCGAATCATGCCCAGATTTAAGCCATTTCAGTATCTCAAATTTAGAAGTCCAATTTAGACTTCTGACACAATAGCAGAGGCTCCTGTCTTGTATCTGGGTAATAATGATGGTAAGTTCTAGCAATTTATGGGCATTCTTCACATATATCAACACCATGACTTACTTCTTAAAAGGGCTATACCTCAAAAAATTTTAATACTAGCCCAAAAGTTAGGTGCTTAAAAGTGACCAATGACTGATTCTCTAGTGAAGGAGTATTCACTCTGGGAACAGGATTTACTATCGAAAGCAAGCAGAAAGGCCCTTAAAATGAAATCTCTGCTATCTGAACATAATCCATCACATTCTTCCATTTTTAAGCTTCGTAACTATAGCTCCAACTTTGCCTTCCAACAATGCGGAATATTAAAAAAATGTGAAACTCTACTTAAATGGCTCTTTGAAGTGCAATGAAATTGGAAGAGTAATTTAAAAGGCTAAACATGAATAGTAAATCATCACCACTGATATACACAGTGACCAAAGGTGGTCATTTATTGTTTTAAATCCCATCACAATCAGCAATGTAAATAATGAAAATAATCTATCCAAATTATTCAAAAGCTACTAGTTTTTGTTTCCTTCCTTCTTTTACCAAATCCCTACTTGCGTGTAAAAAAGAGAATGGAAGGATATGCTCTTTCCTGCTCTGAGAGTTCTCAACTCCTCATGGCAGATGCACAGCTACAAGGATAAGATGTATGCCTGGGAAATCACAACTCTGTTTGCGGGAGTCCCTGACTACACAGAGCCTAAGATTTCAAGACTTTTTTCTTCTTTACTACAAAAATAGGTAACAGGTGCTATTTTTTTTTTACTGCTCCTATTATTATTCTGGGACAAGACAAAACCAGATTCTGAAGTTCCTATGGGAAGGTGAAGCGACAGTAGCCTTCACAAACACCTTGAAAAAAGAGAAGACCAGTAAGGGGTTACTAGTCATATTTACATTTATAAAAATTATAAACTGTCCACGGTTATAACAGTATTGTGGAGCTACACAAACAGACTGACAACAAAGCAGAAGAAAAAGAATCCTGAATTTGGTCTATATGATATCTGGTCCTATCAGTAAAGGAAAATATGAGCTTTTTCAGAAAATGCTAACAGGACAATAGGGAGCCATCAGGAAAAAAAGTAGAATTGAATTCATACCAGGATAAACCATACGTGGATAAAAGCTTAAAAGCTTTGATTTCGTTAAAAGCAATGAAATCAACAATCAAAAGTAAAAGATCACATTTTTAATATTTTTTTAAAAAATAAAGATTCCTCTGTACAGGGAAGTCATTTCTAGCTATAATTCAGAATACAGAGGCATTGGGGCGCCTGGGTGGCTCAGATGGTTAAGCGACTGCCTTCAGCTCAGGTCATGATCCCAGGGTTCTGGGATTGAGTCCCGCATCGGGCTCCTTGCTAGGCGGGGAGCCTGCTTCTCCCTCTGCCTCTGCCTCTCTCTCTCTCTGACTTTCATGAATAAATAAATAAAACATTAAAAAAAAAAAGAAGTCAGAATACAGAGGCATTGACAAAGAAAGGTAAATTCAACTACATAAGAAAAAAAAAAAAAACCTTTCTGTAATACACCAAAGACAAAGTCAAAAGACAAGTCACAAACCAGGGAAAATGTTTGGAACCTATTAATTACAGGCAAAGGGATAAGTTTCCTGACGTATGAAAAACTCCTAAAAATCTACAAAGGGCAAATACAATGAACAGATACTTCCCAATAAAGGAAATACAAATTGCTGTTCAACACAAAATGTTACACCTCATTCATATCCAAAGAAGTTCAAATTAAACCTCCAACAAGATTCTGTATTTTACTTTCCAGGTCATCAAAAATTACACTGGACACTACACAGTCTGTGAAGCCAGCATCAGGGTACACATAGCAACAACCTCCTTAGTGAGGTGCTTCGAAAATATCTGTCAAAATTACAAATGCAGCTTCCCTATCATCCAATAATCCCATGTCTCAAAACTTATCATAAATATTTACATGTATGAGAGGTCACTGTACACTGTCATCCTTAGGGGACC